CCTTCTGATCTCAGTACCTTCGTCAGCCAGTGCACATTGTCTGGCTTGCTTGCCAGCCCAAGCATCCTTCTTCCCACTCCAAGCTTTGGTGGTTCAGGACTCTGTCCTGCTGACTTTGTTGCTCCCTGCCCTATTACCATCATATCAATTCGTTCTTTTATTCCTGCACGTAAAGATCCTAAAGCAAGCCCATGTCCTGCCCCTACCCCTGCAGTCCAGCCAGAGGTTGGTCTTAATGCTGCATAACCTCCCGACAGTGGTCTTCCAAGCCATGCCAAATGCACTCCTTCTAGGTGTTGCCCTGTTATGTCAGTTACATTAGTTTCCTGCACCACCTGCTCCTGAACATCTTGTCCTTCCTTGACTTGTTCTGCCAGCTCCTGACTGGACTCCTTTCCTGTCTTTTCCAGCCCAGGCCCCTGCTGTGCTTTTGGTGCCTCTAATTCAGGCTCCTGCTGTAATGTTGCTACCTCTAACCCAGTCCCTTGTTGAACTATCATTCCCTTGTTATCTGCCTCTGTGAAACAGGACATCCCTTCCCGGCCAATTCTGTAGCCCATGAGGACCATTCTTTCACCCACCTTGACTCTTGTCCCATGAAGTCCTGGCTCAGCTGATCGAGTCTCCTTCTGCTCTAATACCCTCCTTCCCAGCTGCTTATGATCTTGTTTTATTAATCCCCTTTGCTCAGCCTGTGCAGTTAAACTGGTCACAATCAACCCTGGAGCCAGGTGGTCCAGCACACTTCTCCCTCCAGCTGTCTGGGCTGCCTCATGATGCAGTGTTAGAATTGGCCCTTGCCGCAGTCCTGCCAATCCTTTAATTCTTTTCCCTTTTCCCTTGTGCTGTTGCTCTTGACTTTCTAGAGCTGTGCGCTGTGATAAACGTGATGATGCTCTTGAGGAACCTGGTCGACCCCATTCTTCTGATACTCTGAGGGTTTGTCCTGACAACTCAGTTGCCCTCCAGTCTACTGTGGCACACACTGCAGCCTCTTCTTGACTTGGCTTAGCCTTTTTTGGATCCCATCTGGATATCCCCTCCTCTACCTCTCCTATCTCTTGAGTTGGACCTGCCAAATCCTCACCCAACTCTGCTGTCTGAGCCAATGCCTCTTCCTTAGAGGTTATTTTTCTTTCTACAGCATCCAGCTGAGACTGACTCAATACTTTCTCAGCTACACCTGTAACCTCTGCTAACTGGTCTTGATATAGTACCACCACTTCCTCTGCCTCAGCCCGATCTTTGGCTGATACCACCTGTCCTTTTCCAGTTTCCTCCTCAGCAACCACATCTGCAGATGCCAACTGCTTGCCTTCCCCCTGAGCAAGTCCTTCCAGGTCTTTTGCATCTCTTTTTTCTGGTCCTGCTAGCTCTTCAACATTTTCCTGACTCCTCCTTGATTTCATCTCTTCTTTCATCCCCTCATCACTCTGTAGAGGTATTCCATCCAAGTCTCCTCTGGGAACATCTTCTTGCTTTGGTGGTTCTACTATCTCAATTGCTTCCTCTATACCTACTGGCAATGTCTCTTCTTGTTCTATAGTCACCTCTTGTGTTTCAGTGGGAGCCACTGCTAGTACCATATGCACTTTTTCAGTCGTAGACACACCTGTCTCGGCTGAATCACCATCAACCATCGCTGATACCTCTGTAGTAGCCTCACGCTCAACAACTACTGCCATATTCTCCTCAGTCTTGCCCTGATCCATGGCTAAATCCATATCCTCTGCTTTCTTCTCATCTGTTCCAGGCGCCTTCACAGTTTCAACCTGCTCCAGTGCTGATGCCACATTCTCCTCTCTGATTTCTTCCTTAACCTCTCCTTGATTTACCTTGGCCTCTTCAGCCCCTTCTACATCTTTCCCTCCTTTGGTCAGATCTTCTGGTGCTATGTCAGCTTCCTCCTGACTCACTGGTGATATTATATCCTCTTTCCCAGTCACTTGGTCTACCTCTCCTTGACTTGTTCCCATCAAGCCTTCAACTTCCTCCTGACTTACTGTTGGTCCTGCATCACCCTCTTCCTCCCTCATATCTTCTAGGGCTCTCTCAGCTTCCCCCTGACCTACTGCCAATGCCACATCCTCTTTTCCAACTACCTGCTCCACCTCTCCCTGGCTTGCCCTCATCAAACCTTCAATCTCGCCCTGATTCATGGCTGATGCCATATTCTGCTCTGTGCTCATACTCTCTGTCTCCCTCTGATCTGCTCCAGACGCATCCTTAGTCTGATCCACTCCAGGTGCCAGGTCTTCCCTCCCAATTATCACTTCAGGTCTCTCTTCACTTGCTTCAACCAACTTCTGATTCTCTCTCTGATCTATGGGTGATTCCTCAACTCCCTCTTCAGTCAACACCTGGGTTTCTTCTTGACCTAGTCCCATTAATCCCTCCTGCTCCCTTTGAACCTCTGCTGATGCAACATCTTCTCCTACACCTACAGTCACCTCTGGTAACTCCCTTTCATCTGTACCAGGTGACTCCTCATCTTTTCTCTGGTCAACTGCAAGTACAGCATCCTTTTCCTTTTCAATCTCTTTTAGGCTTTCCCTTTCATTTGTACTAGACGACTCCTCAATTTTTTCCTGGTCAATTACAAGTACCGCATCCTTTTCCTTTTCAGTCTCCTTTAGGCTTTCCCTTTCTTCTCTACCAGGTGTCTCCTCAACTTTTCCCTGGTCAACTGCAAGTACCACAACCTTTTCATTTTCAGTTTCCTCTAGGCTTTCCTCTTGTTCCAATCCTGACAACTTCCCAACCTCTCCTTGATCCTCTGCTGATTCAGCCACATCTTCTCCACTCTTTCCCTCTGCATCCCTTTGCTCTGATCCTGATACTTCTTCAGTCTCTTCTACTACCAAACCCTCCCCATCATTCATCTCAATTTCCTTTTCATCCATTCCAATTAACTTATCATCTTCATCTTCACCCAGTTTTTCAAAATCTGCACGATCCCCTTCCTCCCCATCCTCTGCTCCAGCCAACTCCCCAGATACCTTTTCACCCATTTCAAGAACTATGCCACCTTCTCCAGCCATTGCTTCTTCCACATGCGCAAGTTCCTTTGTATCCTTTTGTTCCATTTCCTCTCCAGTGTCCCCTTTGGCTTCCCCTTCGTCTTGGCTTAAAAATATGCTCATTTCCTCCTGATCTGCTTCACTTAATTCCTCAGATTTTTCTTTCTCCCCGCTAGCCTCAAGCGCTGTAGCCTCTTCTCCACTCACTTCTAAAGCCATCTCTTTTTCCCCCTTGTCATCAACCATCTCCTGATTCAGTTCTGATAAATCCTCAGACATCTCCTGCTCTGGTCCAACCAACTCCTTGTCCGTCCCAGGAAGTAATCTTGTGATCTCCTTATCCACCTCACCCATCGGGCTCTCCTGATTCACTGCCTTCTCCTCTCCCTCACTACT